ATTCATGCTACAACCTTCGATCAACACTATTATTGATCAAAGGCTACAACGATAATATAGCTGGAGTGTGGCTCTACCTCGTATAAAAATATCCATAGGTTGGATTATCCATTTCTAATGTTTAATATAAAATATAACTAATATTTCGGAAAGAAACAAATTATCTCTACACTTTTCTAACTAAAGCACTATCCCCGCTATGAAATCTACCAAAATTAAATATTTTTCCTTCATAGCTTCATATTAGTAGCGCCCCCTAAATGTCAGAAAAAGTTGTGGAAGCACATATTGGCGACGACTTCCACTTCTGACTTTTTATGCCCATTTTCAGTCTGAGTATTTTGCGTTTTCTTTTTATAGGATAAGGGTGACAAACGAGCACACAGTCCACCTGGTGATAAGTGGATACTGTGGCTCATAGACATCTACATCTTAGATTAAGAATCGAGATGCAGATGCGTTGCCAGCCCTGAGGACTGAGATGGAATGCCTCGTTTCCAGTAAAAACGGTCTCCGGACCTCTAAACACACAATACGAAACACAGCAGCATTAAGCTGCTATTTTACGCTGGTATTCTGTGAGAGCGTGGTCCTTCCCCGGTCGAGCCGACCCATTCGTGCTGCAACCACAATATAGTTGCATGATGGCTCTACCACGTAAAAACGTATTATATGAGACGATATACTTCCATTTATCCCGAGGCCATGAGGTGACGCCTACGGGACGAAATTAAATTTAGGATTCTATGAAGCCGCCCTGAACACCCTGACTTATAATACACTGGATGATTTTTTTACCGTCAGGAAAAAATTGAGTATAACAGGTGAACGGAAATAAAGCCTATGGCACTGATATTTTACTTTTTTTTAGATTTACATATTATGAAATTAATCTGTCAATAAATACTATGGGTGCGTATAAATATATAATAATTTCGATAGTTTTAAATTGATTTATTTATTTAGTTCCGTTTTTTTGTCACCGAAAGTTTATTTCAAATTAGTGGCATTTATTAATAGTTCAATTTCATAATATGTTAAGGTAAAAGCAAAAAGATTATAAAATATCAGTGACATAGGCTTTCATTCCGTTCACCTCTTACATCTAATTTTTTTCCAGACGGTAAAAAAAATCATCCACTATAGATATTAAAGACGTGACGTACGTTGACATATAAGTTTTATTATTATACGTAATTCTTTATAATGAGAACATCGACGTAGTAAAATATGTTTTATTTGGACAAAAATTGTTTCAGGTGATTTTTGTCGTGGATACGTCGAATTTGTGTCAGGTTTCCGCGGCTGCGGTGATGCTGTATACACTTTTAGCAGAACCGAGGCTTCGGCGTGCTAAGGTAGGCAAAGAATTATTAGAAATAAAATGAGGCTTTGTTCGCCATCGTCATACGCTCGTCATAATACGTACTCGTACTATATGGAACTGTATCCCCGAATTGTCGTCGCTATTGAAAAAGAGGGTGGTTGTTTTCTTGCTCGAAGGCTAAGTACCACGTTAAGTCACGCTTCAGCTTTATTATGTTTGCAGCACGAACGGGTCGACTCGATAGGAGAAGGACCATGCTCTCACAGAATACTAACTTAAAATAGTTGTGTTTTGTATGGTGAGTGTAAGAAACCGGAGACCCTTTTTACTGGAAACGAGGCATTCAGCGGTAAACACAACTGACGTTCTCGTCCGCGGGGAGTTGAACTATAAGATCATTTAAGTTTTTGGCTTTAGTTTTTTATTACGGTAATAAATATTGTATATTTGAATGTAATGTAAATAAATGATATAACATTTTAATATGGAACTCGTTAAAAGAAGTAATTAGAAGCATTAATCAGTAGATTCGAATTGGCACAGACCACGCTCGCACAGAACACCAGCGTCTAATAGCAACGTAATGCTTCTTTCTTTTTTTTTTATAAAATTGAAGTGACATTTGAACTTATAGTTTAAGTGTTTTATCTATGTTACAGTTCACCTGATGTTTGATTTTTACTGCAGCCTATGGACACCCAGAGACAACTACAAGCAAACAAGTTTTGTCATTTCTGAGGACTAGGATGAAATGCCTCACAGCATGTACTTATACTGGCTCTCTCTGTCTCGATCCCTTTCTGGCTCTATCTGAAGTCTATATCTCTATAGACTTCAGACCAGAACACCACAGTGCTGGTACTATTGGGTTGAGAAGTTATACATAGTGATTGATGTGAGCTGGGACACTTTTTACTGAAACATTATTAATATTTATACATAAACACACTAGCAGCTAAAAAGCTGTTTGTGAGTCTTAATGTTTGAAGATTTAATCCAATCTGTTCTTGAAGGCATTCAATGTAGGAGCATCAATCACATTTTGCGGTAGCTTATTCCACTTGGTGATAACACGATTTGTAATAAAATTCTTCATAGGATGCCACTTATTGGCAGCCCTGTGGCAAAGTTTAAGTTGATGTCCTCTCAGACGTTTGTTGCTATTTAGTAAGTACAAATTTTGCAGAGTAGGAACATTGTAATATCCTGTCAGTATTTTTCAATATAATTAAACTACCTCTCTGTCTACGGCACTCTAGTGTTGCTCATATGTCATGTTTCGCAGTTGTTTTACCATTTTTGTGGTCTTTCTTTGAACATTTTCCATTAGTATTATAAATACGGGTCCCGTATCACATATAACTCCAAAAGAGGTCTTAAGTACGTTCGGTATTATAGGTACCTTTTCTTCTGGGGTGACACTTCGGCATTTTGATTGTAAATCGAGAAGAAGGTATCTATGGACCATAGTATCGGTTTAGCATCGGGTAAACTGTGTGTTTTCAACTACGTCACTGGTCAAGGTATTTACGTCTAGAGTAAGCGGGATTTTTATACCACCAGCTCTCGAAAACCAAGAGATTTTCCAGGTATTTCCTATAATCGTCTTTTACGACACTCACGGGATAAAACGGGCGATGTTTTTAATTATATTATTTTCATATTACCTTCATTCTTCACATTTTACTTACACAAAATGCACCAATCACATTATCTCATCACGCTACGGGGTTTACTGGAAGAGAATGCCTAAAGGCATTAAGTCCACAGTTTTTAAACCTTTAGTTAAGGTGTAAATCATAAAGTAACAATAAATACATAAAAAAACAATGGCAAATATAAATTATAATTCTTCCGCAGTTCATACTGGTCTTGAGCAAAATGGATGCTGCGTACCGACAGATGCGCAACGAAGCACTGTTAATGCTGCAGCACTCGCGTCTCTGTAGTGAACTGCACAACGCGCCTACACTGCTGGAGGCCGCGCCACTCGCAGGGACCGGTTTGGATGGTCTACGTTCATTTCTTGTAGACTCTAGGAAAGTCGAAACTACCTAAATTTACCTAAGTCTCTGTAACGTATATTTATTGCTAGTTATTGAATTTCAGCATAGAAGAATCAAAAAAAATTAGTATTTATTGTGTAATACATTACGTGTTTATGAAATTACTCGTAGAATAAAGTAAATTCAAAAAATTGGAACTAAGCTTTTATTATGAACTATCATTGCGTTACTAGATACTAAACAAAAACTTAGTTTTGAACCTACGTTGGGAGTTGATTTGCGGTGTGACGTTTTTTGGGTGTTTCTCATTTTTCGTGCACATTACACGTCCAGGAGAAAAGTCTTCATTTTTTTATTAAATATCTACATTTCTTATAAAGGAAATCAAATGTAAAGTGGTTATGCTTACATGCATGTAATATTTACAGATAAAAATAACGTAATAAATTAATGATAAATAAAAAACTTCAATAATTCTCACTATCTTCGGCGTCCATTTACTACTCTACTAAAAAATTTATATATTTTTAACCGAAAATATAAACATTAAATATAAAAATAACCATATTATGAAACTTTATTAAAGAGCACAACGTTTACACTTGAAATAAATAACGATAACCCCACAATATAAAGAAATTTTATTTCATAAATGTTTATCAAAAAAAAATTCTGATTACCATCGGTTTTAGTGAAAATCTAAATTATAGTCCGCGTATTGGCGTGAATGTCACTATACCACCATGCCGCGCTCCGCACAAGTCTCGCCAGCAACAAACGTCGTAGAAGGTTCACGCCTGTTCTTAGAAAAAAAAATATTTACGTGTAAAGTTTCGCGGGAGGTGATTACTCTGAAATCGTCCTCTTTCCTCTCGTCCATATTATAAGTCAGTATTAATGATTTTATTTAATATATAGTTAATTATCAATTCCAGTGATTACCGCCGTAATTTAAAGTAAGCACGAGATTCGTAATTTTGATATTTTTTACGAAACAATTAGATAAGAATAAAAACCTCATTACCTACGTCCTCACTACCTTCGTTTACCGACGTTTTTTTTAGCGATGGTGATGAGGTCAAAACGATGACAATTAGAATCAATTTTACGTCAATTTATTATTATTTATTACAGTGCATTATTACATTACAAACCGTGTGGTCGCGAGTTCTATTCCAACCCGTAGTTGAGATTTTTTCCACAATAATACTACTACGATACAGTTATAATAATAGTTTAATTCATAGTAAAATAAAGAATTAATAGTTCTTACTTTGTTTCTTGATGTAGCTTTAAGTTTGTTTACAAATAGTAAACTCACAAGCTAACCATGTGAGTGTACTTTTTATTACTTTAATTATTAAGGATGAGCTTGATATGATGAAAACGAGCAATATTATATAATGTGTTGTTACAGATTATTAAGAACTAATAATGCCAAAGAAAGCCAGACAAACATTAGATCAGAAACGAGAGTGCGACATACAAAACAAAGAAAGTATGCAGAAATTAAGAAGGTACTGAAAAGTATGCAGATCTGAAGGCAAAAGAAAGAGCGAGATACCTTAAAAGAAAAGAACAGAAAAAAATAAGTAGCGCAAAAGATATGACACCTAGACAATTGAGAGTTCAGAGGAAGAAGTGAAGAGTTAATTCAAAACGTCATTATGAAAGAAAAAGCTATTCAACAGTTGTTAATAGATAATTCTCCACCAAATAGTGACAATGAAGTACATCCAGTTGAACAAGATCCTCTCACTCAATCAGCTCTAAGCCTCATACCTAATTCATATCTGAATCGTTTGGATTACGGTAATAGTAATTCTTGTCAAGGGTGCCTAAAGAAAATATTCTTCAGAGAAAGGTTCGCTACCTGCATAAAAAGAAATAGGCATTTTGAAACACGAAATAGAAAAAACGAAGAAACAGAAAGATGGCATTAGAAAAATGTTGTATAGAATAATGAAAAATTAGAAGGAAAATGAAAATATATCGACTGAAGAAAAAGTAGAACAACTAGTAGAAAATTTTAATATACAAAAGCGTGAAGAAATTGAAGAGCGACTAATGTTTGGTGAAATACTTTCAAGAAGTGTTGGGGAAGGGTACAAGTGCTTGAGGAAAAAGGATAAGAAAGAATTCTCTCTTTTTTGACGATGAGGAGATGACTAGAATTGCAGCTGATAAATCTACACTAATATTATAAAGAGGAAAGATTTGTTTGTTTGTTTGAATTGAATAGGCTCTGAAACTACTGAACCGATTTGAAAAATTCTTTCGCCATTAGAATCCTACATTATTCCTGATGAACATAGGCTATAGAACGTTTTCAAAAAATTTAGGGATCCGTATGAAAACTTCGTTAATGTAACCCAAGGTGTGAAAAAAATACCAAAAAAAAACCTTATATCGCGTACGCTGCGGAAACTATTGACAATAGAGCAAAGTGATGTGCTACAGTTTTATGGAGGACATCAATATCTACATAAAAGTCTGCAATACCATATGTCTAACCATTATAGTTATCTCACAATAACTACTTTTTCATGTTAAAATATTCAATAGTAACGTCGAAAAATCCTTATATCGCGTACACTGCCAGCACCATGCGATGCGGGTGTCACTGGGGTGTGATATTAGAAATAAAAATAAAATAATCAAATATTAAAAAAGAACAAAAAAAAAATAAAAAAGATACGTAAACAATAATAAAAAAAAATCATTATCTATACTTATATATATATATATATATATATATATATATATATATATATATATATATATATATATATATATATATATATATATAATATTATAAAGAGGAAAGATGTTTTTGTTAATTTGTTTGTACCAAATAAGTCCGAAACTACTCGACCGATTTTAATCAATTTTTACCAATAGAAAGCTAAATTATAGGGGGGGTAGGGTGAGTGGATAAAATTTAAATTTTCTGTATAACGTGTATATGCCGATAGATAAAAGTACTCCATTAATTTTGCTACTAACAGAAAAGATACTTAACGAACACATTGACTAATTTGTACAAAAAAATTTACGCATAATTCGAATGATAACGTATCAAAGATTTTGTAAATATCGCCCATTATGGGTTTTATACCCAAAGGAGTCCAGTAGAAATACGTGTGCTTGCAAAGTTCATACTAATGTCATTTGTTGATAAAATGTCTATAATACAAATAAAATACTAAAACAATCTAACAGGACGGGTGTTTTAGAAAGCTTAAGTTGTAACGTCTACGATGAAAATCCCTAATCATCCCTATCTTTTAACTTAACTACTCAATATCATTCCCCTCCTTGACGTTCTCATTACCGTTTCATTACGATTTTTGATATGATAGTTACTTTATTGTTATCTATACAAGGAAGGTAGAAACCACAAAAAGTTGAAGGATTTTATGGATATTAAAGATATTGGGGGAAAAAACGAAGTTATTCGGCAATAAATTTGACATTTACAAATATCGTGAAATTTGCACGAAATACGCGAAACACCCTTTTATGCTTCTCATACGCATATTAATTTTGTACATTTGATTATTTAGCACTCACTGATTTCAATTAAAACATCAAAGCAATCAACTTTTTTATAGTATAGTGTGGCGTGATGACAAACGAGCACACAGTCCAGCTGATGGTAAGTGGTTGATGTGGCTCATAGACATCTACATCTATCCTTGATAACGAATCAAAATGCAGATGCGTTGTCACCCGTGAGGACTAAGATGGTATGCTTCGTTTCCAGTAAAAAGGGTCTATAAAGATATCACATTGAAACTCACTTTTCGTTCATCAAAAAATTATAGGTATAATCTATGTATTTAACACATCATTGAAATTAATTGACTAATCAGAACACTTACAGAAATGTGGAGTAAAAAGTTTCTAGCAGTGATACCCCCAATCCTGAAGAAACGAAAGGAGTCAGCTCACAAAGCCGATGTCGCCACACACCAAGCGTCAAATGAATAAATATTTGAATGTTGGTACCTATACTAACTGTCGAGAGTGTAGTGGCGGTGTAGGAATATCCACTACCTCAAATCGTCCCGTGGATGTCGTTACAGGCGACAGAAGGAAACAAATCTGAGGGCAGCAGTGTCTTTTTAATAACAAAATTTATATAGAGTCAATTGAAAAATTTCAGAATAAATTTCTTAAGCATATTCAATTTAGATCAGCCGGTGATGCCTCTTTTTGTGTAGATTAGCCTCTGACCTAAAATCTCGCCGTACTCTCAGAGATCCCTTTTTTTATAAAAAAATCATTCATAATAGGGTCTACTCCATACCACTTCTATGTGAAATAAATTCCAGGTACCAAAGGATAATTGCAAGAAAGAAACTTTTATTTTGTACTTCTACTATACGCACTAAATATGGCACGAATATTTTATAACTCGTGGATGTAAATCTTGTAATAACAACCTTTCACATGTTGACGTATTTTCTCTGTCATATGGACAGTTTAAAAAGGAAATTGAAACTGTAATGGGTAATAGTTCAAATTAATATTTCACTTTAATATTACACTTTACCTTGACTTAACTTAACTTTAGTTTTACACACATGTCATGATGTTCGCTTGTTGTCGATGAGTTACTTAAATATGAAAACTTTATTGTTAAACGTAAAGTTATGTATGTTTCCCTTGAAAATAAAATAAAATAAATAAATAAAGACTGCACCTAGCAACTGGCAATTCTGACAAATATCCTAATGTGAGGCAATTGAGGGAAGGCTACATTCAGCAGTGAACTTTTGAAAGACTGTACCGGTAACGGTAACATCACTTGACGAATATAAACTAAAGTAACTAATGGGTAACTCGTAACTCATTAAATGGATTCTAAATTGTTATCATTACCCCCAATTCCGCCAGATTCCGAAGTCACACATAGACACTACACATTCACCTAGTACCACAAATTCAATTAGTACATAGGATGGGACGCAGCGAGTCCGCAGACGGGCGCGCCGCGCACCCCACCAGACCAGGTTCACAACATACACCCGCGGCCCTGGGCGATTCTCACCGCCAAAAACACTTAATCTGGGCTGGGGATCGCCACCCCCCTGTTAGAACGGCCGTTAGATCACGTATAGACTCAATTACGTGCACTTTAAACTGACGTAGATGAAATCGTTACGCAAGTAACGATGCAGTTCGACACAAAAAGACCTTTATTAATTTTAAGACCGGCCCTGAGATTAGTGAGCCGCATATGCTAACAGCATCATCATCATCGAAACCAGAGAGAAAGTGTTATCATTGGAAAAGATTTTTTGTTAATTCTAGAAGGATATTCCCTCTATAAGAGTACAAGATAGAGCCATTGTAGCTTAAAAAAAGCTCAAAAATAAGCGTTCTTCACATAATTTCATGGTACTCTGGCAATTTCGATCCCTGTCGGCACTGAAATTGGTTATTACAATTAAAAGTGATGATTTACAGCTTACTCGGTGTTGGAGAAGGTAACTTGTGTGACCAAATAATTTAAAAAAAAATAAAGCAATGAGCACAGGAGATTAGCATAGAAAGCGCAGAACCTTCCCTTACTAGAATCTTACCCTTATATCTCCCCAGGAATGCGAGAAGGCCTGGGCCCAGCTCTAGGTCGTATCGTTGTTGTTGGTTTACTTTACTAAGTTATAAATAATCCTAAATAAAAAATATGTAACCGCACGTAAAATATTTAATTTTATAGAATAAGGCCGACAAACGAGCACACAGTCCACCTGATGTTAAGCGAATTCTGTGGCCCTTAGACATTCTCATTCTATCCTCGAATTAAGAATCAAAATGCAGATAGGTACGTTGTCACCCATGAGAACTAAAACAAATACATCATTCTAGTAAAAAAAGGTCTGCGGTTTTCTACACTCACCATACGAAACACAGCTGCATTAAGCTATTATTTTACGCTGGTATTCTTTTTGCAAGAGCGTGGTCCTTCCTCAGTTTGCCCATTAGTGCTACAACCATAATATAGTTGCAGCATGGCTCTACCGCTTATACATAAATCAAATTATATTACTGGTGCTAATGACATTATGGCTCTCTATGACCTATTATCAATGTAGATCGATTAATTTCCCCTATACCCTATAAGAAAATATTGCAGGATTTAAAATTAATCTATAATTTTCACCTTAAGGTTTAAAATGTCTTAGTTATCTAACGTTATTATTAAATACGGTGAAACTAGTAATTCATTGGTGTGTACAAGTTATCAAGTTATGTGTTCGTTTTAGGGCTTTTCGATAGCTAACCGTGAGTCTGATAAAGGTATAAAAGCCTTCACTGGCTAACAGTACAAACTTCAAAAATTGTCACTAAAGTCTCTCAAATCTCGCACTAAATACGATTTTTTTTTTAAATTTGATAAAATAAAATAAACGTCAGACTAGGCTGTATGGTCATAGAACCCTTGTCTTTTATTACAATGTTTATTTTCTCTGTCTACGGTTTATGTTATTTTTGTGTTATAAGGATATCTACTAGTTAGTTAGCGTGTGGAAGAAAAACATAAATATATGTACAAAAATCTGAAAAGTGGCTTTATACCAATGGCACGACCATTTTCTATCATAATATAATTATGTAAAGTGGCTTTCAAAGACTACTATGGATATAACAAAATTATGCCGTGGCTGCATGAAAGTAGTCGCATCTTGGGAAAAAGAAAATTTTGATGCACGAGCTGTTGAAATGTTTCGTTTTTGTACAAATATTGAGGTAAATTCGTTTTTACTAATGTAGCACGTAATTTTATAATTCATGTTATTGAATGTAAACGTGTAACTATACAATTAAATGAGAGTCGAAGGTAAATAAATGATTTTGGCTAAATAATTGGGTAGTATTATATATTTTATAATAATTATTAATAATAATAAGTGGGTTTAGGTAAATAAATGCTTTTATGTAACAATTTTCAGATAGACGAAAGAGACAGACTACCAAAACAGTTCTGTTATGATTGCATAATTAAAATAGAATCATCATACACATTTATAAAAGAAGCACAAAATGTGAATGTGACTCTTAAGAACATTGTCTCTAGAATTGAAACTAGTGTAATTGTTGAATTGGAAAATTGTGCAAGATTAATGCATATACCATCCGAATCAAAAAGCCATTTAAAACTGACGCTACCGGATTATAAACTGTGTAGTTCTGTCCAAAATTCCAAAGAACAAGCTATAATTGAAAATTTTAAGGAAAAATTTGATATACAAAGTGATAATGTCCAATATGATAATGCAATAACTGATGATTCTTTAAAAGAACTACCATGTAATAGTAATGAAGATATGACAAAGAATGATGGTGCTAAAGAAAAAGTTGAAAATTTTGGCATTCTTAAGAAAAATATCTGTCCGATTTGTAGGAAGGGTTTTATGTCAAAGGTGTGGTTCGCTAAACACATGGAAAAGGAGCACTCAGGTCAGAAGTACAGATGTGAACTCTGTGCTAAAAGTATGTAAGATGTTTTGCTGTTTTAGTTGAATAATGGGGATTATAGTATCTACTTTGCTTTCAATTTATTAAGCTACTTTCTGTGTTCCCTCTGTCACCTCTTACGACACCCAAGGGATGATATGGGGTAGTGGATATACTTTACATGGTATGTACATTCCCCACTACACAGTACATGCTTTTCATATTTATTTAGATTGTTAATCTGCCACTGAAAATGTCCACTAATTTTCCTAATGTACATGTAAAACACAGAACATGTGATAGCTTTTAAAAGAATTAAGATCTTTCAAATGAAAGCATTTCTAAAGCTTCTTACTCCAATAAGGTATAATTTTCTTTTTTCCAGCATTCAGCAAACAATCCCAATTGAAATACCATGCAACTACTCACTCTGAGGAACGTAAGTTTGGCTGCTCTATCTGCGGTAAACGCTTCAAACGACGCAAGCAGCTGACAGTGCACACACACACACACTCTGATGAACGCCCTTTTGCATGTGACAAATGTCAAATGAGGTTTGATAATTTATATTTGGGTGTTTTTCAAAAAGTTTGTTCATTGCGTAATGGAATTCCACCGAAATAAAATATAATTTTTAATAATTAATATGTATTTTACAGTCATAATTATGTTATTAAAAAAAAACTAATTTATATGTGAAAAGTCTTTAATTTAACGAGAAATTTATATTTTAATAAGGTATGTCAGCTGAAAAGTTCCTTTACATCACAAAGTTTGAATAATTATTAACTCAGTTGTCTTTCGAGAATATATTATTATTTTAATAAAACGTTTTTAAACATTAATAGTTTAAAAATCACAAACTTATAATTAGTAATTTTAAATTAAACGTTTTTTCTTTAAAAACTGTTCCTCTACACTACTTTATGTTACATTTTATTGCACTACGTAGTCTAATGGGGTTGTTCTATATTACAATATGCTGTTTAAATTTATATTATATCGAGGTTTAATGGATAGATTTATTTTTAGGTTAAATTAAAACAATATCCGTAGGTACCAAGCAAATATTAAATTTAATATAAATTTCACAGCAACAATAGGACAAGTGATGTTAATGGAAATTTGCGTCACATGTAGGAACTATAGGTACAGAAAACTTTGTTTTTTCTTTATTTATTATCTGTCTAAAAGAAAACACAATCTAATCTAAAGAAGAACACTTTAGTCTCAAGTTCATGCTTTTCTGGGTCCTGTTTTTTTCTTCTCTGTATATTTTGAACCATCACGCGGCCGTGAATGCCATGATGAGTTCTGAAAAAAAGAAGCCTAATTTAATCTTAATTTGTATGGTTTAAGTTACTACCTAGCTTTTGCTATTATCAGTTAAGTACGAATCCTCATCCTACATACTGTAGTCGAAAAAAAAGAAAATAATTATAACAGTGTAACTATATATTATGCAATGATAAATTTAATTTATTTTCTCGTAAATAAAATCTAGTTGATACTAATGTAGAACAATATGGTGGTTTATATTATTACCATAAACCAGCTTGATAAAGACTTCAAAATAAAACAATGTAAACCATGCTTAAGAATTCCACTACGTCACATTTGGTTTTCCGCTAATACAATACGTCACGTAGAGGACGTGACGTATGCCGCCGGCACAGAAACGAACTTCTAAATTCAATAGTTTTCGATGTAATTTTACTAAACATTAATTTCAATTCATTCACTTTATACTTAGAGTACTTTATTTTTTTGACAAACGAGCACACAGTCCACCTGATGGTAAGTGGATGCTGTGGCCCTCAGATATCTACATTTCTCCCCAATTAAGAATGAAAATGATAATTGTCTCCTCTGAGGATTAAGATGTAATGCCTTGTTTCCAGTAAAAATGGTCTCCGGTTCTCTACACTCACAATATGAAACACAGTAGCATTAAACTGCTATTTTTCGCTTCTATTCTGTAAGAGCGTGGTCCTACCTTGATTGAGCCGACCCATTCATGCTACGACCATAATATAACTCATATTGTGGCTTATATCTTATTAAATATAATCATTTTGAATTTTTCACAGATTCAAATTAAAGAGTGTGTTAAGGTGCCATATGAAGGTTCATGACGGCCAAAAGCAATACCTGTGTAGTTACTGTGGATGGGCTTTTGCTCAAGGTAAGTACTTTAAAAAGATACTTTTGTACTTGCATCATTTATGTTAGACTAGAGATCTGCTCCGGCGTCGCCCGGGCGATTTCTGGATCTCGAAAACAGCGCCACTTACAGGATGCAATTGTAAATCTAAACCATCCTCGAATCAACTTAATCACACACACAAAATTTTGTCAAAATCAGTCCAGCCGTTCAGAAGGAATTCTGTCACATACACATTTGGACAAAAGAATTGTATATAAAAATATACTATAAGATACAGATTTACACAAAAAAAACATCAAAATATATACAGCCCTACTGGTGGTAAGTAGATACTATTGATACTATTGATACCTCAATTTAAGTTGATTCATTAATCAACACCCGAGACTAATATGGGAATGTCTTGTTACCGTTAAAAAGGGTCTTCGGTTTTTCACTCTCACTATATTAATCAGCATGATGATGGTATTCTGTGCGAGCATTTTTTTTTTCATGGTTAAACCGGCCTTTGCATCCTGCAGCTATAATTCAGCTTTGTTTTTTTATAGGATAAGTGTGACAAACGAGCACACAGTCTACCTGATATTAAATAATTCCTGTGGTCCATAGACATCTACATCTATCCTCGTCCACGAACCAATCTTCTTGCTTGAATTCGATTAAAAAAAATACAAATATTTTGTAGATTTGAAGCCACCTAGATGCATGTTATTGATATTGATTACTAATTATACTGAATGACCTTTTTTACGGTCTGGGTGGTAAAATAGGGTGTATCATGTGAAAGGTGCCTATGGCACTGATATTTTTCAAAAAATAAAAACAAAAATTTTGAATTAAATAAATAAATTAAAATCTATCGAAATTCAAATCATATCCACCCTACTTTACGAACGGCAATAAAACAATAAATTTAGTAGGCATCTTTGACCTTGTCACTTCGCAGGGTCACAGGCTCAAGGGCAAACTATGAAGTAATTGTTCAAAAAAAAATGTTCAAGCTCTAAAACCGCAAAGGAATTTTCGGCCCCCACTCTATGCGTGCCACAAATTTTTAGGTCCTTTTCTCCCTTTTTTGTATTTTTAATTGATCGAATTTGTTTTGAAGTAAAGCTAGTGTGGTCTATATCCATTTTAATTTTCATATGACATTACTTCTTGTCAAGCTGTGGTTATTGTTCTTTTTGTATGAAATAAGGGTGATAAAGGAGCACACAGACTACCTGATCCACAATTACGAATCGAAATGCAGATGCGTTGTCATCCTTGAGTACTATACGTGTCAAGTGCGAGTGTGGTGTTCCGAATTGAATAAATAAATCATTGAAAAATAACCAGGTTGTTGTGTAAATGTAGCGGGCAACCTATCAGTGCACATGCGCCGCCACACGGGCGCACGTCCGCACGCGTGCGGCGAGTGCGGGTACCGCGCGGGCGCTGCGGCCAGCGTGCGGCGACACGCGCGCCGCCACCGCGCCGATGCCGCGCCGCTGCCGTGCGCACATTGCTGCAAGCGTTTCCACGATCGCAGCGCGCTGGTGAGTGTCTAGTGCAAGTGTTAGAGTGCGGTACAGCGAGGGCGCCGCGGCCAGCGTGCGGTGACAAGCGCGCCGCCACCGCGTCGACGCCGCACCGACACCGCGCCGCTGCCGTACGCTTGCTGCTGCAAGAGCTTCCACGAGCGCAGTGCGCTGGTGAGTGTCTAGTGCGAGTGTGCGAATGCGGTACCTCGCGGGCGCCGCGGCCAGCGTGCGGCGACGCGCGCCGCCACCGCGCCGCTGCCATACGCATACTGCTGCAGGAACTTCCACGAGCGCAGTGCGCTGGTGAGTGTCTAGTGCAAGTGTGCAAGTGCGGTACCGTGCCGACGTCGTGGTCAGCGAGCAGCGACATGCGCACCGCTACCGCGCCGACGCGAAGTGTCGACGCCACGGTAATTGCAGTAATTTCCTTTAATCATGGGCTTTTTGATCTACTCATTAAACACTAAGTTTACAGTTGAACATAGGAACAGAGAAACACATACGAGAGCATACATTCCACAGTAATGTATGCTCTCGTATGTGTTTCTTAGATTTTACTACTCTCTGCATATTTGACAGGCTGTATACTATATTTCTCGTCACCACCACAGTATGTGATATTTAGGTGACAGCGATTGACATTTGAACGATTAATTAATTGTTTTTTACGCGTTTCTTCTTTCTAAATGTACAAATGTATGTATGTGTATATATATGGAGGTTTGTATATTTGTATTGTATTGTATATTTTAATAAAGCGCACACTTTGACTACCTCTATTTCCTTCAACTATCCTTCAATAGGCCTGCTGGAAGAAATTTCTTTATGGAATAAGCAGTGCCTTTGTACATAATTTTGTTTTTACCATTTTCCTATCAAAGTATGTGTGTACGTACATAAACTGTTAAATAAATAAATAAATCATAAAGCTGTATTAGCTAAGTAAACAAAACATAATTCTTGCACACACGTTTAGGCGCGGCACACGCGCACGCACACGGGCGAGCGTCCGTACCGCTGCGGCGAGTGCTCGCTCTCGTTCGCGGACAGCTGGAAGCGCAAGGCGCACCTCATGCGCGCGCACCGCCTCCAGCTGCAGCAGATCCCGCGCCTGCGCCGCGACGGACGACCGCTGGACCCGCTACATCACTCCAGCACTACCGACGCCATCTTGACAACATGAGACCGGCAACACAGTTGAACTGTTTTATTTATTGACTTATATTAATTACAAATTGTTATAACGAGTTATGATAGTTAAGATCAAAAAGCAGCGGCGGACGACCGCTGCACCACTCCAACACTAGCGACGCCATCTTGTCATGATGCTGCCAGCAACACATTTGAACAGTTTTATTTATTTATTTATAAACTAGTAAATTCTATGGCTAACAACTCCTTTTACACATAGACAGAGGTTTTATTAGCATCAATACACTGACAAAACCTACATTTAGAAGTAAATAAGAACATATAAACACACAAGGTACAGGATGTAAAACACAATTAAAAATAAATCTCAGCAAGGGTGAGTGGTGTAATGCCAAAAGGATTCCGTTTCAGCATATGCTACCGCAGATACTGCAGCAACGTTAATTTTCAGCGGAGCCCTGATAAATATTAAATTCTGTATTGCGCCTGTGTCTCGATGCTTACTTTCCATTTAGAGAATAATGAATCAACCACTCACCAAAGTATACATTTTTAAGAGCGTATATTCAAATATGAGCAAGTCAAAATCGCTCTCGAAAGGCGTAATATTGACGCACACTACAACGTTCTCTCTGTGTGCGTGACTGCGCGAGGTGGAGCGAACGCAAGGTTACTAGTGGTATCTAGCACGAATCATCTTGATACTATTGGAACGAAAATAATAAAATAATTTACACATAATAGCTTATGAGGTCTGAATTAATATCCGATCTAGCCCTAACATCGGAAACTACTACTTGGACTTTCCGTTGTTACTAAGGGATGTCAAAAAAGAGTAACAAAATATATTTAGAAATGTTAATTAAGTTACTTAGGTGAAATACCTATTCTCAATATGATCGAATGACCATATTTTCGCACCTATGTGAGTTCTGCGATGCCTAACGCATGCAACTTGCAAGGTAATTCGTCGGGAATCGCGATGCTTGGCTCGGAAGAAAAAGGTAGATAGTGTAAACAACAAATAAACTTGAAATACGATTCATAACAGAAATATAATCGTATTCTACTTAGTTAAAAATTTTGTTAGTAAACAAAGTTTTAACTTCAGTGTTTTGTGTTATTATAACTTAAAATATTTTAAATACAAAAGACAAGTATAGGTATGTAAGTAGATACTGGGTAAGTAAAGTAAATTTCAACTAAATTTTGTGATAAAGTTCGTATGTATTAGATAAAGGGGGATGCCCATTTTCGGCCATGGAACGCCCAACAATGTGCATTTGTTAAAAAAATATATCTTTATTTATGGTTATTAATCGCGGTATTCATTTATCTTAAAAAGATGGGAATATTTTTGCACAAATTAAAAGTACCGAAAAGATAAGAATAAAATTAGGTAAATCATTAGTTCATTAGTTTGTGAATAAAATAAAGTGTTGCCAATCACAAATCTCATTAAAAAAATTATTCCCCTTTTCGATCGATTACTTATGGTGTCATTATTACAATGCTAATATAATTTTTCGATAATTATTATAATGTTATGATATAGGTTTAAAACAACCGTTGACAATGGATATTTATCCAAAGCAGCCGATACGCAACCGTTATCAACCAGTTTTTTATCTGACTACAGACAAAAAAGGATGGTTATGTTTTTACTGTGTGTGCGGGTTAGGCTATGTTGAATCTTTTTTTGCTATGGTGCTTACAAAAAAGGGATTTCATAATTTTTTTTTTAAAATAATATATTGACTGTATTCTTCGATTTCGTAAACTTAATACTAAAGAAAAATATTTATTAATAAATTACCTTTGTGGCTAAATAACGATCATCCGGAGCTTCGTTCAAAAACTTTTCCACCTCATGCGATGTTAATATATTCAACTTTTTAGTTGTAAAACCGTCTGATTGTCATTTTAAGATAGCATTTAATTTTGGGTATTCATTTATATCCACGTTGTTCCTTATTTTCAGCATACTTTTTATCATCGAGTTTTAGATCATATATTAAGCCTCGACCATAACGTAGAAGGTTTTAATTTTGCTGAGAGTTCGGAGAAATATGCCAACATAACATTTTCTGGAAAACTATTGTTAACTGCTTCTTTCTCTTCTCTCCAAGCAATAAATTCGACGTATGTAGCGACTTTTTGACTTTTCCGGTAAAATGTTCTCCGAAGCATTTTGTGCAATTATAGAGTTCCAGTGGTGTTAATTCAAATAAAATATCGTCGAAATTACTCATTTTGTGCAACAAACCACTAAACTCGCAAAGAACATTTTTGTAAAATGGCGCCAACCGTAAAAGAATTTAAGCAGAGATTTTTTTTGTTTTCTTCACCCATGAGTAGGTAAAGGAAACTATGCCCATACAGCCAAGTCTTCAGTAGAATTTTTTTATTGATATGAAATGAAAATGAAATTTAATGAGATGAAATCAAATGAAACCTAACCCACCTCATTGAATCAAATCATTAAATCTAATATTGAAACAAATTAGTAGCTTCTTTTTAGAAATATTTGCATGAATCATAAAAACTTCTATGGATTTTTTTTAGTAAAAACTTCGTGGTTGGTTCTTTCTTTTTAATAGACATTATTTTGAGAGTTGGGAAACGGAACGCACAAGTTTGGAAAAAGGTAAAGAAAAAGCTCGAGTATGTAATAGCCCATATCCCGAACGCTATACGTCCCTGCAATACGCCACTTTTTGAGCAACTGTATTAAAAAATTATTTACGTAAACAGCGTTAGAAAACTTGAACATTCAATCGCTTACAACGCGCTAGCCTCGGCCGAGTATTTCACCCTGGGTACCTCGCTATTGTAGGTAATTATGTCACGCAGGTAGCAAGAGTGACAGAGGCCTGCTAATATGTATTAATTATTTTATTCTTTTAGTAAATTGAAGTCGGCTTTTCTTTTTTACTTTATTGAGTAGACTAAGAAATGTTACAACGTCAAGGTAACAACTAGAAAGGGGTAAGGAAAATATGTTCGAATTGAAAAATATGTATTATATAAAATAGACATCGTTTGATATACATTTTTTCTGTCTCATAATGCAAAGATAATTATCAAAATAACAATTTCAATGGTGTCGGCGGGGATCGAACCCGGGTTGCTCGCGTTTACAGCGAGCACTTCGCCTTTAAACTACTATGGCTCATATCTTTTTTTGTTCCTATTTTATAATAACATTACCTACACTAAGAATTTTTCCTAAGTATATAGTGGGGACAATTAACATAAGAACATAAATTTCACAAGGACAAACATCTAGACCCAGACCCAGAACAATTATTTGTAGGTATACAAATTTATGTTCCATGCGGGAATCGAACTCAGAGTTAAACTCATTCTGGCACTGAGCCGTCAAATATATCTTTTATAGTGATAAATATTTTAATTATAAATTGCTTACTATTAAATAAACTTATAAAATAATAAAATAAAATAATATCATTTAACAAAGTATCATTCGTTGTGTTGTGTTGCGCGTACTATCATTTATTCTGTGGTTGCATAGCTCCTTTCCGCCTTTGACAACGACTTGCTGAAGTACGCTATCACAATCTCTTGATCACCATTCCATTGAGACAACACACCGCCAAGTGCTATAGCACTTGCGTCTGTTTCAACTATAAATTCCTTTCCCGCATCAGGATACCCCGAAATTGGTGTTTTGCACAGACAGTCCTTGAGCTCATGTAATGCGATATCGCAACTTTTATCCCAGCAGAAATGTCGCTTCTCCTCGGTTAGCTTAAGCAGAGGTTTGACTATATCTGCAAAGTTCTTCACAAATCGCCGATAATAGGAGCACACACCCAAAAATGCTCTAAGCTGCGTCTTGTCTTTTGGAATCGGCCAATCCTTGACAGAGCTTTACTCCTGTAAGCATGTCCAGCGCGTCATCAATTGAAAGGATAGCTGTCCTTCGTAACGTTGTTCAGATGGCGGTAGTCAACATAAAACCGCATACTGCCGTCCTTCTTCTTTACCAGCAATACGGATGAACGCCATTGATTAAATGAAATCAATAACACCATCCTTCAATCATGTCACGTTTCCACTTCCATTTCACGTGCTACCGGCAATCTTCTGGGCCGCTGACGGATAGGCAATTCTACTCCTGTGTTTATTTTGTGTTAAACTAAGCCAGTCTTCCCTATGTCAGCATCGTTTGACGAGAAAACATCGGCGTACTTGAGTAAGAACTTCTTCGCCTTGACCATTTCATTCGGGAAGAAAACGCTACGACAGTCTTCTAAAAGTGTGGTCACTCTCGTTTGTGCATCCTTGCTGGGGGTCCCAGTCGATAGATATTGGCATCGCAACCAACTTGCCCTTGCCCGAGCCTCACAGCAGCTCTGACTTCAAGGTCGCGGAAGCCGTCGATGAATGTCTACACCACGTATGCTTTTCCAACCAGCTTCTCCACCTCAAGGGCCCACTGCTGCAGGTTTTCGTTGCTACGTTGCATGTGGTCTTTGAGTTATCCAGGTGAGCGTTGCTATATCACGCCTCCAATGCCTCAAGGAGCTGCTTGTAAATCACTTCGTTATCGAGAGCTTCCAGAACAGTTAAGGCCTGGTCGCGCAGGCCTAGTGTGAGAACAGTCATACCCTGATTTTGATTCCAGCCGTTCGCCTTCACGACAGACTTGAACTGAATTTTGTAGGCCGACCAGGAAGAAGTCCCGTCGAACGGCGGCACTTAGAATCTACGTAGCGAAGGTGTTGTAGCTACTACGGAAGCTGTAATTCCATGCCCAAGTTTGAGGTTGTCGATTGTTTTCTTCACGTCAGCCATCACGTCAACCCGATTGTTCACTTGGTCGGTTCGGGTTTCAGCTTCCGACAGGCTGTTGTCATATTGAGCAACCCTATCCTTCACCTCCCTTATCTTTTTCCAACCGACGGGCCTGTTCCTCCTGTCGGCGGGCTTTTTCCTCCTGTCGGCGGGCCTGTTCCTCGTGCTGTCGGCGAGCCTGCTCCTGCAGATTTATCATCAGAGCACCTA